ATGTGAGAGGCTGCTGATGGAGAAAGACAGTGAGAAGTAGGAGATCCAGAGTATAAAACCATTAGATGGAAGAGTGATAATGGAGTAATGAAGGAGTGCACATGTGCAGGCTGAGGGCAAACAGGCGCTGAGTGGAGTTGGAGTGGTGGAGACTCCATGAGCCATGAGTACGTTGCAGTGCTAAAAGCTCAAAGATCAAGTGCACCTCCTCGTCTTCTTGAGCAGATGGTGTTTGCTGGAGAAAGTTCAGAAAAAAATGTCAGTGCGTGTTTAGCGCCATAAAACAAAGCATGACACGAGTATATGAGTGATTACTGGTAGAATGTGTTTGCATGTGAAATTGCATCTATTTACACATACGTTTGTTTACGTGTCCATGCTGTAGTAGATCCTTCGTAAATCACAACAACGCCCTTCAGGACGCAGCACTTCTTAATCTGACAAGGGAAACACAGTAATATCCAGGCGTCTGCGGAGTGGATTTATATCACTCCACTCTGCATTTTCAGATGCTTCATATATATTTTCACACTAAGTATATAAGTGTTTTTTTGAGGAGACATTCCTGAGTGTAAATGCTACATCAGCTGAAGAAATGACAAGCAATAAAGTCAAAACAAAGAGTAAATAATAAGACAATACTGACAGCTGTGTTCTAAATTATTTTAGCCTCCTCTGATCAGCTCCTCTCTGCTTGTTGAAGAAACAAGATTCAATAAGATTAATAATAAGATTAAAATTAATTTATATAACGCAATCCAATGACCTTGGGACAGAAGTAATTTGTATAAATTACTTCTGTGTCTTTAGATGACGACAACAACACCAGATGACATTTAGTTATTTTCCCCCATTGTGCTCCCGTGTTGCCTGAGTACTGAGTATTGACCCCAGTAAGTCTTTTGACTGATTCTCGTAGACGTGATTCTTCATTTGTCTTTAATGAAGTTATTTGTGCAGAATTGAATTTCACAGGCTTTAATGCTATTGTCACAAATGAATTGGTCAAAGTGGTGAATATGTAATCCAGAATGCAAAGTGTGACTTAAGCTAATGTGATAAGGCATAGCAAGAAATACGTCACATACTGTCCTCCTTCAGTAGTTTGATGAATGTGAGCAGACGTGACAGTGAGAGATGCTCGGTTGTACTCCAAACGGTTCTCCAACATCTGCCTGAAGCTAATAGATCATGCTCCGTAGGCAGAGTGTGTGACAGGTTTTGAAGAATCCGGTGTGTCAGCCCAGCAATGATCCATCATCCTGACTCCAGCATTGTCTCTGCTCCAGACCTGCCAGCAAATAAATTAACAGTGGACCAAATCAGGCTCCCTTTGAAAAAGTGAATGATCACAGATTTTAAAGCCACCATCTGGACGTGACATGTTGGCACCAGAATGGTCACATGTTTCCCCCCGAATGTCAGCAGCCGTGGACCTCTTTAAGGCTGAATTACATGGTCATCAGGCAGCAGTAAGTTCACGTGAAAACTTCTTGAAAAAAGTGTTCAGAGCCTGTAGATTTCATGTTACAGACTCTACTCAGACGCTGCACCTGCTGTGGTTTAATCATTAGAAAGTAGGAGTCATCACAGGTGATTATACAGTGCATGGCCTCATTCCCCTCTTGAGATCCGTCCTGTGGAGAGTCTGAACCAAAAGGAAAAGGCTAATTAAGGTCTTTAGTTTAGCCTAGATCATCCATTATGGTCAGCTGTATCCTGCTGTGCTTCATATTATGATATGTTTACATCATCAAGATTTTTTCACTCTATGTCCAGCTGCACAAGTTTGTTTTGTGCTGTAGTTTCACCCACACATTCATTGTGGTCGGCCTCATCAAGCTCCAGCTTTCAGTGGTTCCCATACTTTCTGCAGCAGCGCCCCCCAAAACATCTGTATTCATTAAACAAAAGGAATAAAATCTCACTGTAGCAGAAATTATCAGAATATTTTGAATTTGAAATATATAGTTTTGCACCTCCTTAGAGGGCCCGCCCCCAACTTTGGTAACCCCTGGTCTGGTTTTATTGTGAGTTTCCAGTGCCCCACAGTCTTATGTTTGGACTTGCCTGACTCTGAAATTAAACCTGAAGGTAGACAACAAATAAACACTTGAGACACGAGTTGAGATCAAGAAAAAAAGGCTCTTCTCTTTCAGGCTTTTTCCGCACATTTTTTTTATTTTTCTTGGTTCTTATTACACAGGTTTGGTGAAAGCCAAGGTTTAAAGATGAATAGGGTGGTACATGTGGTGGTGGGGAATGGCCTCAGGGAGGCAGAGCATCAAGACTGCAAATAGTTTCTCCAGTCCCAACACTGGCCAGCGCTCACATAGACACCTTCAGTATCCTTCCCTCCGACATAAACTTTTTGGTAAGATTCATGTTGGTCAGCCCAGAACTGGACGAAGCCCTGTAGCTAAACCAACAGGTCGGTGAGTCCTGGCAGAGTCACAGCTGAGTGAACACCATCACAAGTTGCTATATTGGTGCTAGCCTCTTGTGGTTACTCGAAGCTCATCCATCTCTCTATGAATAGACCTCATGTTGCTTGGGATCTTTTATGACAGTGAAGGTTTGTTGCCCCCTGGACGGAGCAGTTGTTCTTTGACTCTCCTCTGGCCTCTTCTCTGCTGTTGAGAAACGTGACTGGGCTTTTCAATGAAGCTAACAGGGCAAATGTGGCCATGGCTGCTAGTATTATGCTGACTAAACTGGTTAAACTAGTACCAGGGACTAGTGAAAGGCCTCAAGGAAGACGTGACAACACAGGTACGGAACCATTGGAAATCCAAGGTTTATGAACGTTAGTTCACTTGTTGCTATAGTGGCTATAGGAAAAGAAACCCTTTAATAACACACAAAAAGGTGAACTGTGTTAATATTTAGGTCATTTGTCAAGTGTTTCACAGGTGGCATGGCAGGATTCCTTAAATACTACGTAGTACACACTTACGAATAACTTTGAAAAGAATGAGTTATGTAACATACAATTTCTCATAATGATGGGGTGGATGGGGATCAAGAGTAGATTAGATTAGATTGAACTTTATTTAGCTTGATCTCACACTGAGGAAACAGTTGGAGATAAAGCACTGCACAGAGAAGAATACATTCTGGTGGAATTTAACTTTCCTTTAAAGGTTCACTAGAAATCATGTGAAATAAGGCAATACATGTATTATTATTTTTTATTCACTCTTTTGTCACTTTGACTTTCATCCTTTTGATAGTGCACTTTCAATCCTGGATGAGCTTTGGAAACTTGGAAGTGTGAGAGTGCTTATCGTATGAAAGATGTCTTACCCTGAACACATGCTTACATGTGTGAAGCTGCACAGTTATGCTGTGCTTATGGGAAAAAAACATACACAAGAATAATTGATTTTGCCCACGTATTAATGTGTCTGTGAGCAGCATATTGTGAGTGTCTTTGTGAGTGTGTGTGTGTGTGTGTCATGAAATTCCCTGTACATTATTTATTAGTATCTCATCAAGCTCTCCATCTTTTTCAGCTGGGGTCTTTGCTAACAGATGGCACCCAGTTAAACAGACCCTGGCACAACAGGATGGACATAAATTTTGTTGGGGAAGTCACATGTTCTCATGCCAAACATATGGTTCACATCCTAGAAATGGCCTGGTTATTAAGACTGGTAGAAAATCATTCCCTCACTTATGTAAATAAGACAACAAAATTCAATTAGTCTCTGTGTTTGTTAACGTTTCCACCCAGTCCTGAAAAGATGAGACTTCCTCATCATATACTTGGTCCACACAAACCCATACAGTTCATAGATTTACAGCAGTTCAGTTTAACTTCAATTCACACTTCTGTTCACACACTGCCATCAAACAGAAGAACAGTGGTTGAAGGTCTTGTCTAGAATCAAATGTGCTCATAGTTGAGCTGAAGCTCCTATCAATTGCCCCCTGATCCATAGCCGTCACATTAGAATACCAAAATTTAGATTTTCACGTAGGATCGTGGTGTTTGGCAACTGTGTGATGCCAGTTTATTTTTTGTTGAAGGGAACACTGTAGAGTTGTATATTCAGTCTGTCTGTCTGTTTATCGCCACAAAACTTCTTTGTAGGGATAGTTTTGTTTTGTCCTTCAAACCATTCTATATCCCTTCAAACACTGTCAATTGCCAAGCAACGTTTTCATCCTCCGGAGTGTTTTGTTTGTTGCATCGTCCTTGTGTTTGTCCGTGGCCTTATTTCCTTGTTGTTTCAGAGCTCTTGATGCCCGGCATCAGTCTTTTTGGCAACTGGCCTGGTTGCTGACCTTCATGGCTCTAAGCCTATTGCTCAAGAGTTCAGCAGCATCTTTTCATAGTCTTGTCTCTGATTGTTATGGTACAGAGCATCATTCTGTCCACCTATCATAACACACTAGGACTTTGTTTTTTTACCTTCTGTTTTTAAGGGGATGTGTTTTGGCTCGTCCTTGTTCTTGAAATTGCTTTCCCACAAGACATGGATGTAATTAATGGGATATATGACACTACTATTTATAAAGTATATTTATATGGTGATAAAAATGAAATATACACTGACATGCATGTTGCAGGCGACATTAGTCAACATCATCATCCTGTATTAAACAACCGGCTGTCATTCACAGACCTGATTTACTGACCACCCATGTGGACCGGTCTTCAAGTAAACATTTCTCTAGATCCATTGCAGCCAGTCAAGGTTTTTGATACGCAGATATATTATATACTGTGTATTGCCATCCATTAATTAAAGAAAATGTACATATTGATCAATACTGCTTTACATCATGTGCCAATATACCCTGTAAATGTTGTCCTCCTCCTCTGCAGGTTTTTGCTGTGTGTGGGCAGGCTTGCTTTTGCAAGGACATGATTCCACATGAAGTGCGACGCACTCGGCCCCCCGTCGTCCACGGCGGCTGCAGCAGGTGTGATGTCGTAACGATCTCCCCCACCACACTGAGCTCATCCTTCAGACGCTAAAGACCCCTGGACCGAACAGAAACCCCTTACGGTTCCCTCTGAGCACCTCTCCATATTGCAGCTGGATAGAGAGGCTAAGAGCAACTAGATTAGGAAGGTTAATTTATAGCTAAAATAGAGTACGACAAGGAGCAGGCCATCAAAGGTGAGAGGAAGGAAAGGAAAAAAAAGGAATAAGTCTGAGAGAGCAGCAAGAGGGACAATAGACAGACAGGGTTGAGGAACTTCAGAAAAGTGATAAGAGAAGTACTGTGACGTGGGTTGAATCATGAAGTCCAACCAGGAACGCAGCAATGAATGTCTGCCTCCCAAGAAAAGGGAGATCCCTTCGAGCACTTTACCATCTGAAACTCGTCCCCTGACGATGCCACCTGCCAGTGACAGTCAGCGTTCAGAGAATCTGACCTGGGTCGCCAGTGTGGCTGGTAGGAATGACAGCAGTACAGTTGGGCGCCGTAACTCCAGTCAGTCTGATGGGCCCCAGTATAAATCTCTTTCGTCCTCGTCAGACTCTTCATCATCGAGGCTAGTCTCATCTCTTCCCACAGTTTTTACATCCCCCTTGTCACAATCCACAGTTGGAGGGACTGTCCATTACACGCAGCTGCCCAACCTGCATTTTGTAGCTTCACCTTATACAGCCCCATACACAGGCTACATCTCTCCCCAACTGTTGCCACCTCCTCCTCCCCCTCCTCCCCTCTCTTCCTCGACATCCTCCTCCTCCTCGTTGGCTGCACAGAGGTCCTCTCATTCCCAGATGGCCTCTGCTTCTTCACATGCCTCTAAACATGACCAGCACAGATCATCCAGCGGGCGGACCTCAATGCCGCCTCCTCTCTCAGACCCGGCCCTTCATCATATTCAGATGTCACCTTCTTCACGGACTGTTCCAACTCCTCATCATCATGGGGGTGTGCACCTTTCTCACCAGTCACTGCACACCCCGCACAATTTGGGTCATGGGATGTCCCATGTTGGGTTACACTATACAGATGCATCCAGCAGGAAAGATGAGAGTGGCTCGAGACACAGAGAGTTTCACAACGGTGAGCTGGAAAGAGGACGGAGACATGGATTACACAGTGAGTCCAGCCACTCAAAGTCAGGGAGCAAGTCAAGGGATGTCTCTTCATCCTTGTCAGCGTATGAGGCCCGCCAGCTGGTTTTGCCATCAGATTACTCTGTTCATGATCACTCAGGGCACAGAACCTCTGTCATGCTAATGCCCAATAGCCATGGTGACCATCACCTGATACAGCGCAGAGCTAGCCCTGAGAAGCTGGCGATGTGTGCTCCTGCACACTTGGAGAAAGGTGGGATTATGCTTGGAAAGCCGGTTCATCGTACGGTCTCCTCTTCCTCCTCCTCCTCCAGTACCACATCCTCATTTACATTTCCACCCCCGTTGAGTGTAGACAGTCTCAAAGCTGTACAATGTACAATGTCACCACAGACTGTTATCCAGACCACCCACAGTGCCACTGAGGCGCTGTCCATGGGGCTCCCCTCCACCAATATTTACCCCCAGCCACCTATAATTGGTTACATCGCTGGGGGTAGTGGAAGCCAGCATACCCCACTCAGTTACCACACCAGCCTACAACAGCACTTACTCATTCCTGGTGCCCAACCGGTTATCATCCCTGTCACTGGAAGTGGAGTCACCACATTGGAACACGTTTCCTCTCACAACGCGTCGTCCACCCAAGCTGCACCGTTCCCAAGTGCACTCCCTCACATGTACACTGCTGCCACCGCTCCTAAAAATGAAAGTCCGCAGAAAACCTCCAGCGGCTCTTACCAGCAGGCCCCTTCAGGTGCAGTGACCCAAGCACATCTTCACCCCCCCTCTGTTCCTACGCAAACAGGAATGATTGCTCCTCCGCCACCTCCCCCTCCTCCTCCTCGTCCACCATCCAGTCCGGTGTCCCCTCCGGCACTCCCCCCATATTTCATCAAGGGCTCCATTATCCAGCTGGCTGATGGGGAACTGAAACGTGTAGAGGACCTAAAGACAGAGGACTTCATCCAGAGTGCCGAGATAAGTGGTGACCTGAAGATTGACTCGTCCACAGTGGAGCGCATCGAAGGCAGCCACTCCTCACCCAACGTCGCTGTGGTTCAGTTCTCTGTGGGTGAGCACCGTGCACAGGTATGAAGTCTCTGGTTAAACTGTGTGTATCCCATTGTTTGACTGTGTTAAGCTGTTTTAAACATTGATGTTTGTCTGGAAAATAACTGCTTACAGTTAACGAACAAGGAAAGACAAAAAAAGACCCTAACTGCTTTTATTCAGATAAACATAGCAGTCAGACTTTCTGTAGTCTGTTATTTTTCAGACCAAATTCTCAACAAAAACATTTCTAGAAATGCTCTATTTCTAGACTATATATAGAGTATATACCGTACATATATATACGAATATATATGTAATACTATGCCACAGCCTTTATACATATATATACTAATATATATGTAATACTATGCCACAGCCTATGTTTTTCTATCTTTAAGCTTCTCCATCTTCCTCCAGTCCACTTGCACTCACTCACAGAGAAATATCCTTCTTGCTGTTTTTGAGTGTGTGCGTTAAAGCCAGTTAATCCATTTCATCTGTCCATGCTGTGACTTGTTCGCCCACACAGCACATATCTAACCATCTCTCCCGCCCCCGGCTGCTCTTTGATACTGTACCCCACAAAAGCTGACCATCTTTCAAAGACTGATCCTTCTCTCGTGCACTCCCTCAGTGGCCATCTTACAGTTTTTCTTTCCTGGCAGGCAGTAGCCGCTCGGAGTCCGTGCGCAGAAAACTTATTCTGAGAAAAAATCTAAAATTATATAATACAGGAGGGAGAATGTGGCCCCCGTTTGACAGCATTTGATGTATCTTACTGTTGAATTGTTCTTGACATTGTTCTCTTTCACTGGCACTTCCTCACTCCTCTTCGTGTTCAACCCACTATCCTCCCTTTGTAAACTTGCCTTTTCATCTTCATCTCACTAACCTCCTCCCCTCCCACCTCCTCATTCTCTCTGCAGTACTTCAGATCTTGGCTCCTTTTATCATTCTTCACTGTCAGGTCTGCTTTTGCATTTGCTGTACCCGTAATTTCTCAAAGAAACCTCTGCTTCTGTGTGTCATCGTTACATCTTGTCATACATACAAATAGGTTCAGCATTCTTACACCTCCCGCCGTGGTTATCATTATAAAAATCATGTGATGGCGTTGTGCTATATTTTAGAATAAAGTCAACACATTTGGGTCACAAATTTAGTTACTAAAATATGCTTCATACTTTTACAATGGAAAATAAAAATAAACATTGATTAAAAACAAGGCTTCCAATTCACCTGCAGAACTAAACTGAACTTTTCTTTCACCCCTCCAGGTGAGTGTGGAGGTGTTGGTTGAGTACCCCTTCTTTGTCTTTGGCCAAGGATGGTCTTCATGCTGTCCAGACAGGACCACTCAGCTCTTGGAGTTGCCATGCACCAAGCTGTCAGTGGGTGATGTTTGTATTTCCCTCACCCTCAAGAACCTGAGAAACGGATCTTTGAAGAAGACTCAACCCCTGGAACTTTCCACCTCTGCCTCAAGTCACGGACATCTCAAATCACCGAGATCTGTCTCTGATGCTCCTCGAAGCAGTGGAGGAAGCTCCAGGCACGGTGAGCGGGAAAATGGCATCAGACAGCGAGGGAATAGAGGAAGCGGGGGTGGTGGAAGCACCAGAGTGGAAAACGGGGATGCTCTGTTTGGGATAAGGGGGTTGCTTTCTAAAGGTCAGAACAACATCAGCACAAATGGTGGCTCCAGTAAGCCATCAGGGGGCAGGAAGCGAAGATGGTCTGCCCCTGAAGGTCGAAAAGTTGAGAAATCAGAAGAGGAACCGCCATTGACCCTTCCCAGACCTTCCTTCATCCCTCATGAGTTGAAAGTTAAAATTGAAGGAAGGTCAAATATTGGCAAATGAAGGCTAACAGGACTGTTAAAAACCCTGGAAATCTGGGGGAAACATCAGTAAAGGATTCTTAAAGAAAAGAAAAAACAAAACAAGAATGCCCACATTAATATCTCAGATTTTTGGTTTGCTTTTATTTTTCTATCTTCAAAACTTGTACTGTAGAGGTTTATTGACCCTACACGGTATCACCTTACATTAAGTTCATGTAGTTTTTAAAACATTCATTTGGTGGATTTGCTTTAACACGAGCAAACAGTGCTGTTTTGGCTATTTTGATGGGATTAAAATTACTATTGGAGATTAGTGCTAAATCTTTATGGGTGACTGTGTGGCGCACCGGAGCAATGCTTGTTTAGCAGGCCTGTTATCCTGTGAATCAATGTTAAATTGTCAGCCTGTTTACATTGTTTTCCTAGTCAATGTTGAGAGGCTGTCTATGTGGAAAAGTGTTCTTACTACTTCATGCCACATTTTTGGTTTTGCACTGAAGCACAGGGCGAGATACAACCTAAACATCAACTGTGGTGGACAGTTAGCATAGTGCTTTATTTGAAGGTTGAGGAAATGTCCATGATAATCATGTACTGAATCAGAAATTACTATGTATTGCCAGTGTGCCACACAACAGAGGGAACAACACTTAATCTGTTCACGTTGATGACAATGGAGTCTCTACTTTAACCTTTAGCATATTTGTTTAATTTAAAGTGTATTTTTTAGACCCCTTGTCTTCTGTCTGTGCAGTTATATGTCTTCACTGATTGTCAGGAAGTGTAATCAGGGGTCTTTCAGTCCTAAATTGAACATGAGTGGGTCAATGTTTATGTACAAATGTGAGAAAGCCTGTCCCTAATTCAACTGCAGACACACTGGGTTGCTGAACTTTACTTAAAAAAATACGTTTATTTGAATTAATTTCTTTTTCAACAGAAAGGCTTAATGAGAGGAATTGAAAGAATGTGCTACTCTGAGAGGGTCAGAATGCCTCACCACATTTACCACGCCTGTCACGCTCACTATAAGGCTGACAAATTTAAATTCTTTCTTTATTCACACAGTACTGTATGTTTTTAAATTTTATTTAGACAAGGATAGAACGTAGCAACAGCACTTTGGAATTGGAGGCTTTTAGAGAAGTGAAGGGTTTTTTCTGGTAATGTGGTAGAGGAACGATGTGCCATGGGAATTTACAAACAGTGGTGTAAATGAGAGGTAGCAGAGAATCACAGCTGAGATGGTTTTTAGCACGTGTTTTTAGGAGGACACAAATGTGGGGGAAAGTATTAGGAATATTTCTTGAATGTCTTGCGTTTCGGCATGAAGATTTACGAGGAAAAGGCTTCAAGGGCATCAATGGACGCTCATGCCACACATTTTTGAAGGTTGTCGAATATTTGTAATGATGTTTGTGAATGCTAGAGTGTATACGATGCTGGTTGTTGTATGTCCATACGCACACACCTGCTTGCACAAACACAAAACAGTACAGAGTATGAATTATAAAAACATAGCTGAAGGTCGCCTGCATACGGTATTACATGTAAATGATACAGCGTAATTGGTGCCTACTACAAGGGAAATCCAATCGTTGCCAAAAAACCTAATTGATTTAGAAGTTTAGATTTGTTAAATTACGCAGAATTATTTTTTTGGGAGATATTTCCTCAACAAATCCGTTCTAGTCATTTTGCACATTTTCTGAAAAGTTATGGGCTGAAACCAAATGAATGTGGATTACTGTTTGAACAGGCGTCTGTAGCAGTTAACTTTAAAGAATCAACAGTTTTGCAATTAGCCAAAGTTAATCCTTAGTTTAGAGCTGTGGTTATGAAGGAGTGTTTTTATAAAACACTGCATAAAATTTGGGGAAACACTGCAGTAGAAGACTGGGACTGTTCCACAGAAAGTACTCTGTGTTTGTGTGTGCATGTGAGTGTGTGTATGAGTTTATGTATACTGTGTATAGAAAAAGGATGTAGTCATTTGATATGGTATATAGACAATTCTAAATGTCCAGTGTTTCTACTTGGAGTCTTTTACTTAACAAAATCTTGCTATTTGCACATCAGGAAGAGGTTGTCTTAGGTGGAGGTGTGATGATTTTTGACGGCCCTGTCCCAAAAGGAGCCCTAGACCATGTAACACACTGGACAAGTCCAGCTGGAATAGTTTTTGGTCCTTAACAGGCACCCATCACTGGCATATTGGAGTTGGAAGTTTTCTGCTGATGTGCAGACGAGAACAAACTACATTTTTGCAATCACAAAGAAACAAGAATTGTATTATGTGCCTGCCTACTGAATTTGTTTAAAGATGAACCACACGGTGTGTCTCACGG